TGCAGTTATAGATACAGCAGGAGAGAGTACAGCAGTCACGGCCGTAGCAGGAAAGGGTAGCGCAGGAGTCCCGGTCGCAGCAGCGGGTGCAGCTGTAGCCGCAGCAGGAGAGGGTAGAGGCGGAGCCACAGGAGCAGCAGCAGGTTCAGGTACCGCCATAGCGACGCCAGAGGAGGCGGAGGAGTAGTGACTGCGTCTGCGCGACCTGCCCGACCCAGCACCTGCACGCTTGGTTCGTGCCACCCAACATGTTCCCCCCGTCCAGTCCCTTTCCTCGTCCCAATGGACTCGTCGTTCTCCCCTCAGTCGTGCTGTGTCTCCAGAGCCCCGTCGAGTACATCAGGCATGGGACTTGTCCTTGGAGGGAAGAAGCTAGTTACACTTACAGGTTTCTCGGACTCGTCGTGGGCCGACGATGCGGAGACGCATCGGTCTACACAGGGGTACTCTTTTAGCCTCGGGACAGGTGCTGCTTCGTGGCGGTCGATTCGGTCGTCGTCAGTCTCCAGTTCCAGCTGTGAGGCAGAAGTGTACGCTGCGGCCACGGCCGTCCAGCAGATTCGCTGGCTGTCTTTCCTCCTTACCGACCTTGGTGAGCGGCCTCGCTCTCCCCCAGTCTTGTTTGCTGACAACAGGTTTGTTGTCCTGTTGTGTAAGGAGCCCCGACTGGTTGGGAAGGCGAAGCACATCCAGCTTCGTTACTTCCTTCTGCGTAAGTTGCAGCAGAAAGGCTAGGCACTCGTGCGACGTGTGGTCTCTGATGCCAACACTGCAGATGTCTTCACCTAGGCGTTACCGCCTTGTGATCTCCAGCATTTCTGCACCCAGCTGGGTCTTGTGCTTGCCCGTCCTCACTTTCTTACGTAGAGATGCTTTGTCTTGCTTGTTTTGTACTCTTGCATCTCATATATTTGCTATATACCTGCATGTGGACCGGCCTTGTGGCCCCTTGCTTGCTTTCGGACTGTGTGGTGACTTTGAGCTCCACCCTGAGATTTACCTTGTTCTTGTAAACTGGTATTGTGACCCTTGCTTGTTCTCAGACTGTGTGGTGTCCTTGAGATCCACCCTGAGCTATGTGTTGCTTTCTACAGGAGTACCCTCACCTAGACTATGGGGGTGTGTCAAGCTATATTTGTTATAGGTTATATTTGTTAGTATAGGTGTACATTTTTTACCCAGGGTTAAGTGAGGGTTCTCCGGATATATCCTGATGTATGATTCATTCCATAGTTAATATTTCCATTGTGACAAAACTGCCAGGGAGGCACGTCGTCAGCCAAGGAAAGCACATCGAATGGTGCGAGAGGAGAGCTTGCCCATGGTAGTATCACGGACAAGCAAAAGCCAACCCTAGACCCGAAACGCTAACGCATTGCCAACCTCCCCTGTTTAACGCAGTGTAGGTGAGGTTTCGGGCTCGGAGACACAGGGCCAGAGGTTGGGCTGATGCGCGGCGTATCGGTCCACAAACCGCCACAGAAAATGGGGAGCAGGCGCATGGATCATGGAGGTGCCAGCAACCTCCATAATCAAGCCAATGTGGCACACAGCGATCCCATTCTACTGTGGAGAAGCCGGAAGCGAGAACGAATGGGTGATGCCCTTTTCATGAAAAAAAATCATCGAGGAGACCGAACAAAATCTCCTCCACGGTCAGAGTGCAGACAACGCGCCGAGAGGTTCTGACGGAACCGTGTGCTCAGCTGGCAGCAAACAACGCGGATCCAAGGGATCAAAACACGATGGACTTCTCCATTGTGCTAAAACGAAAACAATTTGGTGTAGCGCGTGTAATCGTCAACGACCAGCACGAAGTAGCGCTCCTGGCCCGGCCCAGAGACTGGGGCGGGGCCCCACACGTCCATGTGTAGGGTCTGCAGAGGAGCTGTGGCCGGAGGGAACGAGGAGTGAGGAGCGGCGCATTGCCGCCCTTCGACGCAGGGAGTGCATGGCGGCGCAAGCGACAGGGGTAGCGGGGGCAGGGACCTCGGGAGGCTAGAGACAAGGAGACGCGATTGCATGCGACGCAGACGTTGCATGGAGGGGTGACCAAGACGGTGGTGCCAATGGAGAGACGGGTGCATGAGTAACTGACACGAGCAAGACACAGCTACCTAACCGGATGCAGCTACCTGAGCAGACTCTGTGTGCAATGTGTACAAGGCAGACCCACACCTCCGCATAAACGTGGCGAGGTGGTCGCCAGCCACTGAGTCCATACAGGTCGCCACTAGCTCGCCCCAAGGAGAAATAGTAGCTACCAACTCATCCTAGAGGACAGCCTGACTCACCAAGTTCGTAACGAACAAGGGGAGGTGGAGACATGTGAGGGAGCCGGAGAAGGCTGCCGGACACGGGAGAACAGTGGAACTACGTGCAAGGACTGAGCAAGAGGAGGGGCCGGCCAGAGTGACAGGGAGAGGTGCTGTGAGCGGTGTGACTGTGGTGCAGTCGCGGAAGAAGCTACGAGAAGTGCTTGAGTCCAGCGTGAAGGTGTGTAGAGCCTCCTCAAGAACTGCAACCGTGTGAGCAGACTCACAAGCACCTACACTTGCCTCCTCGAAACAGGCTAGCGACAACAGCTGCTGCTGCTCCCAGAACAACGGACGCCTCCGCTGCTGCTGCTGGGTGGCAAAAGAGAGGGAAGTGTAGAGCCTAACCACATCGTCGTAGAATGTTTGGGCCGACATCACCTAGCAGAAGTGGGCCCTCTGGTCGAACGGCAGGTGAGTGCGGACAGCAAGCTGGGCGACAGTGTCGTGTGCCGTCTATTGTGTGCAAGCAACACGGTCCGCCCGGTACCGCCACTGCACGTCATCGCCTGCGCTCAGGCTCAGTTAGAGTCGTGGGGGCTTTAAGGGACCCCAACGTGTGCTCTAACAAGGAGAGGCCATCCCTAATGAAACGCTGGAGATACAGGCGCAGGCCCTCAAGCCACGACTCTCACTTGAAAGGGCGCCTGTCTGCGTCAACCGCTTGGACAGTGATAGTGGTCATGACAGGAACTAGGTCAAGCTGCAACACTAGGATCTTGGCACGGACGGCGGCTCGGGATACAGCCCAGAAGTAGGTGGGTAGTAGCATGTCCCGATGCAGCAGTGGCGCTCGGGAAGTAGCGTCACACAAGCAGTAGAGGCGGTATGGCGCACGGGCGGTAGTGGCGGCAGCACGGCGCACGAGCAGTAGCAGCGTAAGGGCAGCAGTAGCGGCGGTGCAAAGCACGGGCGGCAGCGGCTGCGGTGTTGCGCCCGGGCGGCAGTAGCGGCGCACAGGCAGAGGCTGCGATAGCCGTAGTGGCAGCTACAGTGGCTTTAGCGGCAGCGGCAGCAGCGGTAGTGGCAGTTGCGGCGGCTCCGGCAGTATTTGCAGCTGCTGCAGTGACTGAAGCGTCAGCGGCAGCAGCTGTAGCAGCAGTGGCTGCTGTGGCGGCGACTGCCGCAGCGGTAGCTGAGGCTACAGTGGCTGTAGCGGCGTCTGCAACGCCAGCTGAAGCGGCGGCTGGCTGCCTTGGCAGCTGTAGCGGCACTTGTAGCCGCGGCTGCAGTCGCGGCTTCAGCGGGCGACAGCGTGAGGGCGCGGGGCAGGTCAGCGCGGACGCGCAGGGTAGGGCGGCGCGGCGTCGCAGGGGAGGGAAGTGCGACGGCACGGGTCAGGGCAGCGCGACGGCGCAGCTGCAGGGCAGCGCGATGGCGCGGGGCTGGGCAGTGTGATAGCGCGGGGCAGGGCAGCAGGGCAGCAGTGTGCTGGTCAGCAGGACCCTGGGCAGCGAGGTGTGCGGTGCAGCGGCGCGCAGGGCAGCAGCACGCAGGGCAGCGGCGCGTAGGGCAGCGGCGCACGGGGCAGTGGCGCGCGCAGTGCAGCGGTGCGCGGGGCAGGGTAGGGCAGAGTGGTAGCGTGGGGCAGTACCACGACAGTAGCAGTGACGGGCAGTAGGAACGGACCTAACCTAGGATAGTCAACAACGGAATGATGTTTGACTAACAGAATGGGAGTACAAGTAGGAAACCCTAGAAAGCTGTACCCCCTAAGGCTAGCCTCGCTATAGCCTAACAATATGTGAACATGCAGTTTTGACATGTACCCCTCAAATCACATGGTTAGCTACGACTAAATAAACTCAATGATTTTACATTCACTATAGCAAGGTCAATCTAAGACACCCGCTGTCCACAAGTTTCCTCGGTTATTTCAGCATAAGGTGTGTCTGAAATGTGGTCTGATCTCCACTCAATAATAACTTGACTAATTATATCACCATGTCTTACAAATCATGTCTACGAAGGGGTGTACAGACAATGATTACCTACATGAATTCCATAACATGAGAATAAATAATATCAGCCCATGTGTCTGGTATACCAGGCAGACACCAATGCATGCAATCGATGGCCTTGGGATGTTCACAATGGTCTTGGAGGTGCCCGTCTGGCCTAAGAACAGAGAGTGCAGTCACATCAACCACTTTGAACTCCTTTGATTGTCGAACCACCTGCAACGCAAGCAATCGATGCAGTACAATATAAGCGCTGGATGAATATACATGATACGATTACATATAAAAAGAACAAACACAATGACCTAGGCTTAAAGCCCACATGGCACCTGTAGCATGCATGCTATGCAAAACCAGCAGCCACATGAAAACGCCACTTCAGCCTGAACCACCTAATCCCACTGACACCCAACCTCACCGCATCTCAATCTATGTGTATCGTGCTTCCAACACATCTGTAGCCCCTCGCTACAGCTGGAGCCTGCAGCTGTAGCAGAGCGTGCACAGCCTCCACCGCCACAAGTCGCATGAACGCGCTACAGCCGCGCTCCGGCATGCTGCAGCTCACCAAGTCACCTCAATCTCTCTGGGCTTTGAAGCCCCAGCCATCTGTAGCCCACAGCACTGCAGCTGTAGCACTTACATCATCCAGCACCGAGCCTGCATGACTGCACTACAGCCTGATTCACCCCAAGCCATCAGTAGCCCCACCATTCACCCCATCTCAACCCCTCAGCACCCCTCCGAACCTCACCTCAATCTGCGCATTCCGCACTCCCATGCAGTCTTTATTCCACTGCGGCACTTCCACCGCCTCCGGCCCCACTGGGTCCATGTAGGCGCTACAGCCCACCGAGGGAGCAGTGCTGTTGACTCGCACGTTGCCATGCATGGGCGAGTAGGTCAGGAAAATGGGCATCCCTGTGTAGTTGATGCTGCGGGTGAAGTGAGTGACTGTACGGAGGGCGGCTTGCATGGTGGCCATGCGGTTGTTTGGCTGCTCGGTGTTGTTCATCATGTAGTGCCGCGTCTTGACCCGACCCTGAAGGGGAGGAGAGGGGTGGAGGATGAGAGGTTGTGAAGGGAGGGAGGGAGATGAAACCTTGCGCTTAGATGTAGCTGCGAAATTCTTGAAGTGAGGCTGCTCCGTATTGCTGACCATGAAGTGCCGCTGCTTGAGGTTGGCCTGGAGGGGAGATGACTCAAGAGGGGAATTGTGGTGAAGGAATCTTGGGGAGTCTGAGAAGGCTTGCTTGCTCCTTGTAAAATATGCCTCTTTTTCAGGTGGCCTGGAGGGGAGGTGCGATAGAGGATGATTGTGGTGAAGGGGAAAATCGTGCAATGGGGTGACTCGTTGTTGCTCTTTGTTGTGTACCAAGTAGTTCCTTCCTTTGTTTGTTGTCCCCCTTTGGAATGCGACTAAATGCGGAGGCGAGGAAGAAGGGTTGGGGTTATGGCCGGAATGGGGACGAATTCTGGTGAGATTACGTGTGAATGTCTGCCTGGTCACAATGGTTTACCATGCTCCAGTCCCAAAGATCACATAGTCGGTGCATGTAACTCATAATTATGTCACAGGGCATTTATAACTCACTGTGGTGTACCAAACTCCGGTCCCAAAGACCACATAGACGTCGTATCGAAACACAGGGGACCACTACATGCCATATTGTAACCTATAGATTTGTGTCATGGGGCATGCATGTATAACTCACTGTGGTGTACCACGCTCCGGTCCCAAAGACCACATAGTCGGTGTATTGAAGCACAGGCGCCCACTCGGGATGCACTTGGTCCAGATGCACCGTCCACGTGCTGCCACTACTCGTCCTATCGCCGCCGCCCTGATTAGCACGAGGGGAGAGTGGAGAGAGGCGAGGGATTTGGAAAGATTGCACAGGGCCATAAATCAAGCAGCTGGTTCATTCAGAATGAACTTGATCCAGGTGCTTGCGTTGGTCTTGTCGGCCTGTGGAAGGCAGAGAAGAGAGCGCATGGGACCACCTTGAATTAGAATGTGCAATCACGATGCACTGTTGACGTTCTCAAACAGCTCATTCTTGGAGAGAAGAGAGAGGGGAGAGGGGAAGGGGGAGACGAGAGATGGGAGAGGGGAGAGGGGAGAGGGGAGAGGGGAGAGGGGAGAGGGGAGAGGGGAGAGTGGAGAGGGGAGAGGGGAGAGGGGAGAGGGGAGTGGGGAGAGGGGAGAGGGGAGAGGGGAGAGGGGAGAGTGGAGAGCGGAGATGGGAGAAGGGAGAAAAGGGGAGAGGGGAGAGGAGAGAGGGGAGAGGGGAGACGGGAAACGGGAGAGGGGAGAGGGGAGAGGAGAGGGGGGAGAGAAGAAATGGGAGAGTGGAGAGTGGAGAGGGGAGAGGGAGAAGGGAGAGGGGAGAGGGGATAGAAGACAGGGGAGAGGGGAGCGGGGAGAGGGGAGATATGGAGACGGGATATGGGAGAGTGGAGAGCGGAGAGGGGAGAGCGGAGAGGGGCATAGGAGCATAGGTAAAAGCAACAGGAGCAGACAGCATGCATCTAGTCCAGACGCACCGTCCATGTGTTCCACTGGCCTTATCTCCCTCGATAGAAACGAGGACACGGGAGAGTGGAGAAGGGAGAGGAGGAGGTATTACAGTGGATCGTTTGGGTAAAGCAAAAGGTGCAATAGGAATGTACGTGGGTTGCCAGCCAGGGTTGCTGACACTGACACTGGGAACACTTACTGTGTAAGTAAATTTGAGATGTCTCAAAGCAGTGGGGGCTGACTTACTGTGTAAATAATTTTGAGATGTCTTACACTCAAAACTATTTACACTCAAAGCACGGAAGGTCTTACAGTCGGACTGGATCGGGCGAGGAAGGCGGCGGCCTGGCGGAGGAAGGTGGCATTGAAGTGCGGCGCCAGCACGGCATGCGCGCTCGGCCCTCCTGGGAACAGCGGGCCCTCCCTGCTCTGTCAAGACAACGGGGGGTGGGGAGGGCAAGCGGGTAAAAGGAGGAGTGTGAAGGAAGGGAAGCTGGCATTGAAGTGCAGCGCAACCAACAAGAGAGTCCTTGGCCCTCCTGGGAACAGCAGACCATTCCAGCTCTGTCAATGGGGGTTGGGAGGGCAAGAAAGCGGAAGGAGGGGGAGTGCTGTGGAGTTGGAGGTAGTAGTGAAGTGCTGTGCAAACACAGGGCGTGGGCAAGGGGTGAGAGTTTTGGGGAAATGGGGCTGGGAGGGCAAGGGGTGAGGGTCATGTGGCAATGGGGGTTGGGAGGGCAAGGGGTGAGGGTATGGGGGCAACAGGAGTAGGGAGGGCAAGAAGGCGGAAGGAAGGGAAGTGTCGAGGCGAGGTAATGTCGAACATTGGGTCAAGGAGAGGAGGAGGCAAGGCAAGGAAGGAATCAGAAAAGCATTTTGCTTTGTAATAGCCGTGTGCTGCCAATAGGTTGTTCTATCTAGGTGCTGGGCCATGTGTCAGCATTCACGCCATGCAATGAACCTGGACAATAACATGTGCTCTGCAAGAACTGGTTGCAAGTTAGCCCATGTGCCGGCCTCAAGGAGGCAGTGACGAGTGGAGAAGAGCTGTATTGTGATAATGAACTTGAATAACATGACAAAGAGGTAGATGCATTGAACTTGGACAGTGCAACACACCTTGGTGGGGGTGACTGTCTCAATGAGGCATTGGAGAGCTGAAAAGAAGTTTAAGGTGAGGGAATCCCCGACGACCAGAAACACCTTGTTGCGCATGCGCTCCAGGAAGGCAGATGCATCGAACCTGGACAAAAGAAAAAAAAAAAAACGGGAAGACTTGATTGATGCAAAACAGAAGAAGAGAAAAAACTTAATTTTCACTGGGATAAAAGATGCACTGAATCTGGACACTAGACAGGATCTGATCTGGGCAATGCCAACCTCAAAGTACCGACCTCTTACCTCAATCCACACCTCTCAATGCGACCGGCAACTAGGGCTGCTCCACTCATACTGCCGGTCCCGTACCGCGCACGTGGTTGTGCGCGTTACTCTCACAAGCATGTTGTGCTGTGCAGCATTTCAAAACCTGTCTTCGGCTCTCACAACAAGAACACGCCTCTCAATGCGGCACCCAGGGCTGCGCCACTCGTACTGCAGGTACCTCAAGGCATGAGGGTCGTACCTCACTAGCATGTTGGTACCTCCAGGTACCCCTCACAACCCATACACACCTGTCTGTCAATGCGGCACCCAGGGCTGCTCCATTCGTACTGCATGTACCGCACGTTGATGCGCCCGTTCCGCTCAAATGCATCTTGCACATTGTGCCACAACTCCAAGCACCCGCCTCTGACCCTCTCAAGCCACGACTCAGTGCACACACCTCTCAATGTGGCACTCAGGGCTGCGCCACTCGTACTGCAGGTACTGCATGTTGGTGCGGCCATTGCGCTGGCAGTTTAGCGCCCGACTCAAGCTCCGGCAGCTCTCCCCCGTGTACTGCGGCTGACGTGATGGGTTGGCCTCCCAGCTGTTGGTGTGGGAAGCCAGGGGAAACAGGAGTGTGAAACAGATCAGGCTCTTGTGGCTGTCGCCCCCGTGTACTGGGGAAGGCGGGAAGGGCTTTCCACCCAGCTGTTGGTGCCATGGCGTTGGCACAGGATGGCAGCTGACAGATGAGCGACAGCCTCACGCTCTTGCAGCTCTCCCCCGTACACTGCGGCTGCGGCTGGCAGCTGTTGGTCAGGGGCGAGAGCGCAAGGGTGAAAGGGCAATGGGGATCTCTGGACTATGCGGTTAAGAAAAACGGGTTAGTTGAGCTGTCCCCTGTGTCCTGGGGCTGGCGGGACGGTTTGGCCCCCCAGCTGATGGTGCAGGTCGTATTTGCCACCTCGCATATCATGCAGGTCCATCTGAATTTGCCACCTCGCATCGTGCAGGTCGCATCATGCAGGTCGCATCATGCAGGTCGCATCATGCAGGTCGCATCATGCAGGTCGCACCATGCGGGTCGCATCATGCAGGTCGCATCATGCAGGTCGCATCGTGCAGGTCGCATCATGCGGGTCGCATCATGCAGGTCGCACCATGCGGGTCGCATCATGCAGGTCGCATCATGCAGGTCGCATCATGCAGGTCGCACCATGCGGGTCGCACCATGCGGGTCGCACCATGCGGGTCGCATCATGCGGGTCGCATCATGCGGGTCGCATCATGCAGGTCGCATCATGCAGGTCGCATCATGCAGGTCGCATCATGCAGGTCGCATGTGAACATTTCTCAACGGACATACCGTTCGGGTCACACGCGCGTGCATTTGCCACGTGACATACTGCTGGTAACAGCACATATGTCAGCTACCATGCAGGTGCATGGATGAACTTGTCACCTGACATACCTGCGGGTCGCATGTATGCATCGTCAACTGACATACCATGCGGTGTGTTGAAAGAAGACATTCCATGAAGGTCGCATCGCACGCGTGCATTTACCTCTGACGCACCTTCCAACGGATAGATCGCACGTGGTTGATGGCGAAACCGCGGTTTCGCGTTCTGGCTTACGTTCGGACGGTTTCTCTGGTTCGGATTGCTGCTCCGGCGTAGGTTGGGGATCGCCGGCAAGCTCAGCTTGGCCTACGGCAGCAGTTGACGCAGATTCCGTTTGCGTTAGCGTTTCTGTCCGTTCTGTTCCGAGATTCAGAACGTCAGGTTTTGAAAGCGAGAATTGTAAAAATAGAGCGAAGACGATCAGTATGAGAACAAGCGACGCGAAGAGAAAGCGCTGCTTGGTGCGCTTCCAGTCTCCTACTAGACCCGCAGTCGCCGGCGGAAATTCAGTAGAGGTCATTTAGAAAAACGGACGGATACCCTTGCGCGTAGACCTACGAGGGACATGCTGACATAGCAAGCAGAATGACCAGTGGTTAGGGCACGTCCAGAGAGTACGTCCGAATGCCTTGAGAAGGGTTTAGAATTTATCCAAGGCGGTCTAATGGTTGGATAGGGTTTTTCTCCGAGTACGAACATTGTTGCTCAGCAATTTCGTGTCCCTGCAATTTCCACGCATAGTTTCTTTCTCGAATTGCCCTCTCTAAGAAGAATTTTCCTTATTCCTTACCGGGTTTGACTGCTACGCGTACAACCCCGACAATTCGGACTTCGCACGTTCGTCCGACATCCACGATGCCAAGGCTGCCCCGCGTCGCCTTCGGCGATCGCCAAACCTACACTCAACCTCGTTTTCCCGAGGTTCCCTCCTAGCTAGGGTAGTCACTATATTAGCGCGTGCCTTCATTGTATTGTCAGTTCATTGAGTCACACTCTCGTTATTCGTTATTTCGCGCACTCTCTTTAACAGCTCATAACACCTGGTATCAGAGCTACTTTCCTAGTTCATCCCGCTTTTCGAGGGTAGTTTGGTGGCACGGGTTGGTTGGTACAGTGGACTGCAAAATAGTTGGCTGCAAGGTTTGTTAATTCTAACCTGCCCGACTCCGATAGTTTTTTCTTTCCACTCGCCTGAAGGCCACGGATACTCCTCTGCCCGCCAGACGAAGCGTGCGTCTCATGGACCAGGAGACATTGAACCGGATGTTGGCGCAAATGGCAGAGCTACAGGCAACAATGAAGAATATATCAGCAGAAATGACAATTCTACGTGAGGAAAACACCGATCTTCGCCAGTCTTGAGGTGAAGCGCGTTAGGAGTTGCCCGATGAAGAAGGCGAAGGCAACAATCAAACGGTGAGCAATCCGTTGGACGCGCTCTTCGAAGAAGAAGAATGGCAACGACCGGCAGCGACACCAATTGCAGTACGGCGATCAATATTAAACCTGCGAGCCCGCCCCCGTTCAATCCCACGGACAAGAATACTACACTGAAGGGGTGGCTCCTCGGTATTGAAGTCTTCTTCACTGCAGCGAACGTCAACGACGATGCCACGCGTGTTAATTATGCGGTCTCTCTTCTGCGAGGCGCAGCGCTTGAATGGTGGCGCCGAATCTTGGATACGGGGACCCCGATAGGTGTGACACATGCGGCAGACGGGACCTCGGCATTGGCTAATCATGTGGCGACATCAATCTTCGGAGTGACCAAGATACGCACGTGGAAGGAGTGGGGCGCAGCCTTACGAGATCGTTGTCAGAATGTTGTATTTGTCTAGCCTGCAGTGGGGTACTCTATAGCGAGTACAGCCCAATCTAGGGTTTCCTATATGTACTCAACTGCTTGCTAGTGAACCCCCTCCTTTCTTCATTCTTACTTTCTACTGCTAATTCTGACAATCGTTTCGAGCACGTATCCACCTCGGAGCAAGCTCGCATGAAGCTAAGTTCCTAGTCGTAGTTGGCTTCTGTTCAAGACTACACCGCATCATTCATGGCGCTCGCCAACCAAGTGGATGACATGGCGGAATCGGGCGGAATCGAACCCTAAACCCTAAACCAAGTACGTCAACGGACTGAAATACGAGATACGGTACGAAGTCCGCCGACACCGCCCGACAACGTTCATGGAAGCAGTACAGTTGGTGGAGTCCATGGATGCGTTGATGCAGTGGGTGAGGTGTCAGAACATATATATAGCTTATGCAGTTGTGTAGGCTATAGTGGGGTATCCCATAGGGGGTACAACCCAATTATGGTTTCCTATATGTACTCACTTCATTCATAGTTCATTCATCCTTGTTCAAATCTTCTCATGGTATCGAGCAGGTTCCCCCTTGGGAACTATGCTTAGGGCCCACCACATCGTTTTTTTTTTCCTGCCCGAAGCGCGCTCAGCCCGAGTCGCGCTCCGGGCCCTCACTTCGTCGAGCCGCCCTAGCGGCCCTTCATCGCGGCCCCGCCGCCTCTCTCCTAGCGGCCCCGCCGCCCTACCTAGCGGCCCCGCCGCCCTACCTCGCGGCCTCGCCGCCCTATTGCGCGGCCCCGCCGCCCTACCTCGCGGCCCCGCCGCCCTTACTCGCGGCCTCGCCGCCCCATTGCGCGGCCCCGCCGCCCTACCTCGCGGCCTCGCCGCCCCATCGTGAGGCCCCGCCGCCCTACCTAGCGGCCCCGCCGCCCTTCCTCGCGGCCCCGCCGCCCCATCGCGCGGCCCCGCCGCCCTACCTAGCGGCCCCGCCGCCCTTTCCTCTCGGCCCCGCCGCCCCATCGCGCGGCCCCGCCGCCCTTCCTCGCGGCCCCGCCGCCCCATCGCGCGGCCCCCGCCACTCTACCACGCGGCCCCGCTGCCCTATCTCGCGGCCCCGCCGCCCTACCCAGCGGCCCCGCCGCCCTTCTGCAGCGGCCCCGCCGCTCCTCTACAGCGGCCAAGCCGCCCAGCAGCAGCGCAGCCGAGCCGCCCAGCAGCTGCAGCCGAGCCGCTCGGCCGCCCACCAGCCGAGCCGCCGTGCAGCCGACCGCCCAGCCGCCGAGCCGCCCAGCCGTCGAGCCGCCCTGCAGCCGAGCCGCCCGGGAGCCGAGCCGCCCTGCCGCCGAGCCGCCCTGCCGCCGAGCCGCCCGGGAGCCGAGCCGCCGAGCCGCCCTGCCGCCGAGCCGCCCTGCCGCCGAGCCGCCCGGGAGCCGAGCCGCCCAGCAGCCGAGCCGCCGAGCCGCCCAGCTGCCGGGCCGCCCTACTACCGAGCCGCCCGACCTGCCCTGCCTGGTGAGCACAGCACCACTGTTACTGCGTGCCCTTCCCCTACTGCTTGCACTACTGCACTGTCGTCGTCATGGCTACCCCTAGTGTCCTCACTTTTGACGCTGAGGGTCGAGCCATTGACTTTGAGGTCTGGGTCGACGACCTGCAGCTGTTCTTACAGTGCGATAGGACGGACGGTCTTTCCCTCTTTGACCTCACCTCTGGCGCCTCTCCTGCCCCTGCTGCTGATGCTGACCCCACTGTTCGCTCTCAGTGGGCCACCCGCGATGCTGCTGCACGTATTGCTGTGCGTCGTCACCTGCCTACCACTGAGCGCGCGCACTTTAGTCAGTACAAGAGTGCTCAGACCTTGTACGACGCTGTAGTTGCGCGCTACTCTTCCCCTGCCACTGCTGCCCTGAGCCGCCTCATGCTACCGTACCTCTTTCCTGACCTTGCTGCCTTTCCCACTGTCGCTGACCTCATTACGCACCTCCGCACTAGTGACACTCGCTACCGCGCCGCCCTTCCTGCTGAGTTCTGCGCCAAGAACCCCCCCCCCATGTACATCACTCTCTATTACATAGTCACACGCCTCCCTGACTCACTTCGCGTAGTCAGGGACCACTTCCTCTCAGTCTGTCCCACCACTCTCACTGTCGACCTCCTCGAGAAGTCCCTCCTGGCGGCGGAGAAGAGCATCGTCGCTGTAGGAGCCTCTCGTGGTGACCCTCGCACCCCCATCTTTGAGGGGTGTTCTCCTTCCCCCCTGCTGCCCTCTGTTGCCTCTGCTGCTGCTGCCGACCTGCTTGGTCTTGAGTCGGTCTGCGCGGCGTCTGCCCCTAGCGGGAGACGCCGCCCTGGCAGGGGCAAGGGGGGCAAGGGCGCGGGTGGAACTGGCGGGGG